GTTTGTAGTCCATATTGTTTAGCACAATGTTAGATGCACAGCAAGTATTAAAAACTTAGTTGACTCACTGATTACCTCTGAATGCAAAGAGTGACAATTTACCTATGTAGTTGTGTGTATATATTTCTTTCTCAGCATATGCATTTCATTTGGTGAAAGATTCTTTTGCATGAATGTATTTGTTTAGGTATATAATAACCACAGAAGCAGTAATACATAATGATTGAGAGTGCAGTTCCTGAATTTAAATCTAAATCTTGGCTCCATAGCTTACTAGTTATGTGATGACATTGAATAGATTATCAGCTTCTCCATGTCTCAGTTTCCTTATATGCAAAACCAGGTAAACAACAGTACCTACCTCATAAGTTTGTGGTGAATATTAAATAAATTAATAAGTGCAAAATTCTTAGACCTATGTCTCACACATGGAAAATGCTCGCTCACACACACAAACATACACCCACACACACTACCTAGGTGAGTATACCTGGATGTTTATATGTTTATGTAAATATAATTGTGGTTCTCAATATATATTTATATTGAATAAGAACAATAAGATTACTAACAATATTAATAGCCAACACTAAAAAAGTGAAAGCCAGGACAAGAACAGATATATGCTGTTCATTGCTGCACTATTCATAATAGCTAAGGGATAGAAACAAGCAAGGTGCCTGTAAACAGAAGAATGGATAAGCAAACTATGGTACATACACACAATGGAATACTATGCAACACTAAAGAATAATGTAGAATCTACAAAACACGGCACAACCTGTTTAAACTTAGAGGACATTATACTGAGTGAAATAAGCCAATCACAGAAGGACAAATATTGTATTAGTTCACTATTGAAAAAGTCAAGGAAAAGTTTATACATGGAAGGAAACTTTCTTTGTTGGTTACCAGGGATGGGAGGGGAGGAGAGGGGAGGGAACTCTGCTAGATAGGTAGAGACAAGTATTGATTTGGGTGAAGGGAGGGGCAACTTACCAAAAGTGAGTGATCAACAGTTGCACTGAGGAAGAGGAAGATATAAAGAGGTGCATGGGATGTACAGACAACAAAGATGAACCCTTTTGCATGTACAATACTGTGTTGTCAGTGATGGCAAGCACTGATCTATAGGTGGATAGATGGATAAACAGGCTGAATGGTCAGGAATGTTTAGGCAGAAGGATTGGCAGACAGTGTTTCTACATGCATATTTGTAGGTGCTATAAGAATGTCTGGGTTTATAGCAGAGCGGACAAGGGGCAAGGTTGTGGTGGCTTCTTGGCCACTGGCAGCTACCCTGAGGGAATGAGTAGTTGGACCTGTGGACTTAGGACCACGGTCTCAGGGGACATCAAGCTCAATTGGTATAACATACTACGCAAAAGCATTGTTCTACATCTTACTGTGGTGAGTAGTGATTGGGATCTTAAAAGCTTGCAAGTGGCCATCTAGATGCAACTATGGGGCTCTCTTCATGCAGAGCAAAGAAGAATGAAGAAAATCAAAGACACATGGAAATAATTAGTCCAAAGGATAGTAGACCATTCAATCCTCAGCCTATATGACCATGAGAACAGAAGATGATGTCTGGCTACCACTGTGAACCACTAGGAGGGGGATCAGTGCAGGAGACCCTCGACAGAGTGGGAGAACAATGTAGAAAACTCAAAATCATAAAAAAAAAAAAAAAAAAGACCAGATTTGGTAGTCTGATAGAGCCTGGTGAGGCCCCTGAGACTAGTTACCCTTCAGGTCTGAAACTGAACTCACTTCTGTGGCTTCCAGCCCAATACGCACAGGGAGTTAGCTCAGGGAGAGGGAGTGCATGGGAGGGAAGGACACAGGGAATAGTGGCTGGTGGGTTTGAACTACCAGCCTTCTGGTTAGCAGTCAACTGACTTAGGTAATAGGACACCAGAGCTCCTGACTAGGGGGAGGAAGCAGAAAGAGAGCTGTTACATTATGGGGAATTAAAGTCAATATCATGAAACAAAATGTGTATGTACTGCTGTATGGAAGATGAATTTGCTCTGTAAACTTTCATCCAAATCACAATAAAAATTATATTAAAAATAGCCAACACTTACTAAGCATTTATTCTAGGCATTAATTTCAGCACTCCTCATAGATTATCTTGGGAAAAAAATACACATGACATGGTATAACATACCTTTGTTGTTCCCATTTTACAGATTAGAAAATTAAGGTCCTGAAAGGCTAAGTAGTTCCCTTAAGTTCACGCAGCTGGTACATGATAGAGCCAGGAAGTCTGGCTCTTACAGTCACTGCTGTACTACATCCCAACTGTATTTAATATTGTTTGATATTACTCCTGTACTCCATAATATCTTAATTTGTATGGCATTTAATATTTCATAAAATACTTTCACATGCGTTGAGTCTCATAACAAGCCTGTGAGTAAATTAGTGGATAGTATTATTATCTTCACTTTATAGGTGACAAAAATGGTAGAGCTGAAACCATGGGTCTCTTTTTGTGGAAGTATTTCTGTTACAAATATACTGGGTGCTTCTGTTCACAGAGTCATTCACATAAATGTACTGAGTACTTATAATGTGTTACACACAGAAATCCATCCATAGACACTTGGTGCTGGGAACAAGCTACAGACCTTCCCTGAACACGTCACAGTTCAGTGGGAGAAACGAAGCATTACGGTATACAATATATAGTCTCTAAGGGAGATATGGAAAGAGTACTTATGGAGCACGGAAGGAGGCACCATCTGTCCCAGGGAGGTCTTAGGAAGTGTGTGCTTGTGGGGGTTGTTGGAAGAGAGTATGGTATATGTGTGAGTCCAAATCCACTTTTGCGATGATGACCATGTGTCTAAGTATGAGTATTTGTGGATTTGAGCATGTACCTGTTTATGTGTGCTTACTCATGTAAGTATTAATTTATGCACAGGCAGGCTATAAGAAACTCTGGTGGCGTAGTGCCTAAGGCATTTGACTGCTAACCAGAAGGCTGTCGGTTCAAACCTACTCTCCGGAAGGAAGGTTGGGCAATCTACTTCCATAGTGACACCACCTCAGAAACCCTAGGAGAGATTGCTGTGAGTCAGATCCAACTCAACGGCAGTGAGTTTTGAGTGAGGCTGTAAGTGTGGAGTGAGTAAGCCTAAACATAAAAATATGATGTCTCTGGATACACACACACACCTTAGGAGAATCTGGCCCATCCTGATACGTGCACGCACACGCACACGCGCACACACACGCAAACATAATACCAGGGAAACCAGAGATACAAGTCTTTTTCCACTCTAGCAGCTGCCTCCTGTACTTATGGTGATTAGACCTACCAGCATTCAATCAGTCAGTCAGAGTATGTAGCAGTCTAACAGAGCAGCCAGGTGCTTATATGAGTAATGGGGAATGAAGAGGTACAGGTAGGTATCTGTGAGTGCACATCTATGTGCACACTTCTGGTGTGTGTGAATGCTTAGTGTTGACTAAGTTCCCTTTGCTCCTTCTCCTTTACTACCTCGGGGAGCTCATTCACTCACCTATTTCCATTACCACCTTTATGTGGCTGGTTTCTTCCTCAGCTCCTGGGGATGTTTAAAATGCACTTCTGTGCTGGTGCTGGTAGGGGCAGTATTGGAAAGTGTTGATGCCCCTTATTCCATTGAGGCACTCCCTACTCTCCCCATCCCCATCCCCTTCCAGTCCAGGAATCTCCCAGAGGATGAAAAATGTATACAAAAGCAAACAGTATTTGTGCTTGTCATGAGGAACCCAGAGAGGGTCACTCCTGGTGGGCTGCTCAAACCCCATGACAAAACCTATTTTTAAGGCAAAATTTACGAAGGAGGAAAATGAGGACTCCTCTCTCCACAAACATAGCCCTAGGGTTTGGGGAGGTAGGGAATAAGGCTACAATATTCTTTTATTTTTTTAAGTTTGTCCAATCAAAAAAGCTAAAATGATTGCAATTAATATATAATTGATGGTGACTAACAACAGCGTCTCTATAAAGTGACAAAGATAATTGAGCTGGATTTTCCTTTTGTTAAAAGGCTTATAAATTCAAGACCATGAGGTTGTGCAAAGCAAAGGCTGGAATACACTGGTGATTTGTGTGTTTACATCCCAGCCCAGTGTACTGCCTTGCAGCTGAATGTATTCGAATGTTATGAGAGGCAAGAATGAAACACAATAATTAACACATGTAATATGCCATATTTTAATTTGAATGAATGAATGGATGAGGAGAAAAACAAACATGCTCAGAGAAGTAGAAAGGTGTCATTCAGTGGTTCCTGAAATTACAGTACCTGATTCTGTTCCCAGTTCCACCAATAACTTAATCTATTGAAAGATTTCATGATCTGCTTATTTATTGGTAAATTAATCCAAAGGCAGAATATCTCTTAAAAATATTAACATGTTTAATCAAGTCTTAGTGAAATGTATTTTCAAATGTATAAATGATCACTAATAAATGTTAGTTATTGTATATGTGAATACTTTATATTCATTGTACCACCTTGTATAATATATATTTCCATGCATGGGCACAAATGTTTTCCTAAAGGTTAAGGAAAGATGCTGATTTTATGATATGCCAGGGAAATTTTTCCACAGTCAATATGGTGTTTATTTGCACTTAAATACTGCATCAATAATCTGAAAAAAAGGAATAGTCTGATTATGGCTAGAGACTATTTAGAGGCTGAGGTTTCTATCATGGACTGCTTTCAACTGTTATATTTTATGGCACAGATTCAGTGGGAATCTGATCTGCTAAAATATTTGGACTGTGAAAACTCCCACACTGTGACAGATGTCAAGTCCAATTAAGTGACTCATGTCCAGGTTTCTGTCCAATAGGATTTCCCATTAAATATCAATTTAGGGAAGAAAATTCCATCCCCCTTCTTAAGCCTTTATCTCTTCCACCATCTCTAGGCTGAATCAATTGGTACCAGGAGAGCCAAGAAGCCACACAAGCATCTCTGCCTCTTTGCTCTGGCTCTCCCACCCTCTCCCATCTTTCTCCGCTTCCCTGTCACTGTTATTCCGGGAGACATTCACTTTTCATCTACCTTTCTCCAAGCATCACCAAGCCACTGGCTATATATTTTGCTACAAGGTAAAGAAAGGAGGGGGTGGGGCGGGGGATGTAACCAAGGCTTGAAAGACTTTGAAACTGGAAAATAGGTGTCTGTTTATACAACATACAAGTAATTGAGGGAAGAGGGAAGAGGCAACCTTAGCCCCCGAGTGACAGTATTGTGTTCCTGGGAACTGGGGAGACATCAGCTGAACAAAGACTTATCTAAAAAAAAAAAAAAAAAAAAAAAAAAAACCTTTAATAAAAAAAAAAAAAAAAAAAAAAACCACTTCTGAGCAAGATCGCATCTCTGCTCTGCACTTCCCAGTTTCTCTCAGACGTTTTAAGGAAAGGAAAGGAATCCTACAGGAGCGGAATCTATCTTAACCGTCTTTCTTATTGATTCTTCCGCTCTTAGAAAGTAGAGGAATCAGCCCTTTGATATGCTGATGTTTATCTCTGCATCTCTTTTGTTATTTATAGAGACCTAGAAGAGGAAAAAAGGCACGGGACTTGTCAACACGTCGTTTGGAAAAAATAAACAAACCAATTTCTAGAAATGGTCAAAAACAATTAAAAAGAAAAAGGCTTTTTTTTTGATAGATCAACTAAGTGAACAATCATTCATATAGTCCACATCCTGAGCTATTACCATCCCTCTCTGTGGACACCAGAGAGATGACAGCTGCTTTTTCATTGTTGAATGTAATAAATATTTGCTGCTTTTAATATTTCCTGGAATTCCCCCTTCCCCCGATATTCCTTGGAATTTTAACTCTAAAAGATTGGAGAAAAGATTATCGAAAAGGCTTTTACAAGGTAAGCCTCTTTTATTATTTATTTATTTATTTTTACAGCTTGAAACTAAGTTAGATCGTTCATACTGGATTTATAGGTGCATTTCACTTAATTCTCAAATAAATAAAATGCATACACGGCATGCTACTTGTGAATATTTTAGAAAGATGTGTGGAGGAGAATTTAACACGTTTATTGCCGGCAACCCAGGAACTTTTTCTCCGTACTACAACTATGTGGACGCTTATTGTGATTTTCCATTACTCGCGTATTTGTTTATGCCCTTTCAAGTTGAATGTGTGGGTGCAAGTTGTTCTACTTATAAACATGTCGGTGGAAAGCCCGTAGGGAGTCACATACAGCTCACTTGGAGCATTTGTTTTTATTTTGCCTTAGACGACCTGTTCTCCTCCCAGGGAAATGAAAGCTGTTTTGAAGCCAAATTCACTCCAAAGCAAGTGTAGCTCCGGGAACGGATCATACATCCTCTTGCTTTTGTTTCTTTAGGAGCCAACCCTCCTACACATCGCCGACGCGGATTTCTCCCGCGACAAGCGTCGCTCAGGCGACACACGCCCGGGCCTGGGATTCGCAGCCTGGTCCTTCCTCCCGGTGCTCGCGGTCGGGGCGCGCAGCACCCGCAGGTGCCTTTCCCCTCCTGCCAGCCCCTTTCCGGAAGCCCAAATTCCCCTGAAGTCCTGAGCTTCTGAGCGGGTCCCTCCCAGAAGGCGCGCAGTAGGGGTTCGTTCTCCTGGCACCCGGGAGGAGCCTGGAGAAGTGGCCTTTGCAGGAGCTCAGCGTTAAAGTAAAGCGAGGGACTGCCACGCACGGCCTTTGCCAGGCCGCCCTGGGCAGCTACGGGCTCCCGGGCTCGGCCAGAGAAAACCCTAACTTTGCTGAAAAAGAAGCAGCTCCAGCCCGGGCAACACGCGCAGAGGCCGCCCCCTCCCGCCCCCGGCCTTTCGCGTGCTGCCCGGGCCGCTCCTCCAGCCTCAACCCAGCCGCAGGCATATTCCCGCGAGGTGGTCGGCAGACTGCCCGCCGCTTTGTTTTCTCCCACGCCGCTGCGACTCTCGATCCCCGAAGTGTGTGACTGTCTGTGTGACAGATGGTGCTCCAGGATCCTGCAAGGGCACACTAGGCAATTTTCTGTTGAAAGTAGCCTTCACATTGGTCTAGTCATTTCTTTATTACGGAAAAAACACCAGGGGGGCGAGGAAGTCTTCTCACTCCCGGCCTCCAGATCTCAAGGCTGGGGCGCCTCTCGGTCCCCACTCCAGCACTGGGGGCTCTGCGAGCCTTCCCCACTCCCAGCACCCCAGAGCACCCGGGTAGCCCCAGATCCACGAGAGACCGTCGGGCGCCGCGGCTCTCGGGCAGCTTTGTCGGGGAACTCGGGGCGGGAAGTGCACTCACGCCGGGTCTCTCCGCCCCCACTAACACCCAGATGTATTCGTTGTTAAAAATTTATTCGTTTGTCCTGGGAGAGGAAGAAGTGAGGGTGGCGGAATCGCAGAGCTGGTATTTGGCCAGAGGAGGCACAAAAACCCAGTCGCGGCCCCTCGGTCGACCCCCGCACCAGGCCCAGCGACCTGTCTCGGCCTCCTGCAGGCTCAGATGTTGAGCCCATGATGCGGCCTGGTGAAGCAAGCGCCTTGGGGAGGCGCGGGGCCTTCGCCCTTGGGCCTGCCCCTCTGGGTATCCTCCCTTCATGCACAGCCTGCTTGACCCCAAGCACCCTTTTGGAGAGCGGAGCCCGGGCGCCGAACACGGTGCGGGGAAACTCGCTCCAAGGGTGTGTTAGGCCTTTATGTGTCCTGCCTTGCATCCAAAGGAGAACCTGGTTCCTTTTATTGATTGATCTTCTGACTCCCCCTCAGCCTCCAAAATGATGCTGAGCCCAGACCAAGCCGCCGACTCCGACCACCCCAGTTCGGCGCACTCAGACCCGGAGTCGCTGGGCGGCGCGGACGCCAAGGTGCTGGGCAGCGTGTCGGACCTGGAACCAGTGGAGGAGGCCGAGGGAGACAGCAAGGGCGGCAGCCGGGCCGCGCTCTACCCGCACCCGCAGCAGCTGAGCCGCGAGGAGAAGCGCCGCCGCCGGCGGGCCACGGCCAAGTACCGCTCGGCCCACGCCACCCGAGAGCGCATCCGCGTGGAGGCCTTCAACCTGGCCTTCGCCGAGCTCCGCAAACTCCTGCCCACGCTGCCCCCGGACAAGAAGCTCTCCAAGATCGAGATCTTGCGCCTGGCCATCTGCTACATCTCCTATCTCAACCACGTCCTGGACGTGTAGGGCCCCGGGGCACCGCGGGAGGCAGCCCGGCGGGCGTCTGCGGAACGCGAACTCGACCAACTGGGGCGCCCGCCGCGGGGACCACGGAGGCGGTGGAGGCCCCGCGGGAAGGCCGCCGCGAGAAACTTGGACGCGGAAAGAAGCTCGCCAAATGTTCTCTTTGGTCAGCAGGGCAAGGAGGGAAGGTTTCTGACCCTGGGAGGAGGGCATATCTGGGGAGCCTTGGGGTTGCAGGGGGTATCTTCCAGGCCCTTCGAACCTCCCGGAGGCACCTGACAGGAGCCGCCTCTGGGTCTCGCCTCTCTGTGTGTGTTAGGATCCTTCCAGGGTTGTTGCTTTAGCTCACTGGAGACTGAGTTCTCCTACATTAATCTCCCACTAACCGTCCAGTTATGAAAGAAAGAGGCAGAAGCTCAGAGTATATAGGCTCATAACTTTATAGAATCAGGAATTTTTCTAATTGACAAATCACCAGATATTTGGGTGGGGGGAGATCACTTCCATTATAGGCATTTAAGGCACAGAAAAGTGGAATAGAAAACTAAATTATATTAGAATCCAAATACAACAAACTCCGAATATTTGGTAAGATAAAAAATATACATGTTTGAGGACAAATAGACACACACTGTGGGAAGATTTGAGCTTGGTGAGTTTTTAACCCCAAGATATGACGATAATGTAGACAGGAATATCCATATTTCAATGGAAAATTTAATATCTGATTGCTTTTTCAGGCAAAGTGCCCCTTTATATATCCAAAAAACATCTATTTATGACCTTAAACAAGTGGACCCATAGGTGCAGTTAGAAAAAGACAACCTATTTTTATTTATGTTAGAAGAAGTAGAGTATTTTTTTCAAGACGTTTATTTTTCAGAGTGGTGGTAATTTTACTTTGGATACTCTGTGCCAATTTATTTATAGTCGAGTGTTTACACTTTTTCCTGTGGCATAATTATGTCTAACTTTCTAAGTGTTTGTTGAGATTATACTGTGGTCTTTCTTTTTTGCTCTAATTATATTGCACTTGTATAACAAATTTCCCACTTCTCCCTGTTTCTAAACATATTTTATATATTAAGATGTTTGTTCTTGAAAGGTCCTTTTGTTGTGAGATCAGCAACACTAGCACTTCACTATTATAGTTTTTTAAAAAAGTAAGTGTTGTTATTCTTATCTGTAGTTATGTTTGAAAAGTACACTGTTTATAAGGAGAGTAGCTTCTTTGTGTGTGTGTGAGTGTGTGTGAGATGTTTGTGTGTGGGATGATTTTAGGAAATTAAGTTATTTTCCTAAAAAAAAAAAAAAAAAGAAAAAAAGAATTCCTACTTTCCTCTGTGACAACCAAAAAGAAAAATGTTTCATGTTCTGAGCTGTGAAACTCTTAAAACAAGGAGTATATTTTAGAGACAAGGGGGAAAAAAACACATCTGCTATCCAAAGATTTTAGTCTTTTTCAGGGTTTTTTTTGTGTCTCTGTTGCTTTATATAATGCAATATTTTGTAGTGAAAATAGATATAATCTGGTTTCTATCTGACGAGTTTTTCATATCTCATGAATGGTGCGCTGTTTTGCATATAAATAAAGTTATCAAATAAAGTCCTCTCCTTTATTTTAATCATATTGTCTGAAAATGATGAACATATTAACTGAGCATGGAATGTTTTAATAGACTCAATTTTTCAGATAGAAACTTGTTAAAAAAAAGAAAAGAAAACCAAAACATGAATAAAGATACTTAGAATCAGGATATTAGATGCTCTTTCTAAACTTGAACAAGGATCAGTCTATAAATAGATGCCCTGAATATGATGGTGACATAGGGCTTGAAACTTTCAATAAAGAAAAAAAATTATAGTGTTAATGTAAGAGTAGAACTTGAATTATAAATTCTTTTGCTCTGGAAACTAATCCAACCTTTTCAAATCAGAGTTGGGAAACTGAGGCCCAGGGCGTTTAGGTGTCTTGCACTAGTCACGTAGCTAGTCAGTGGCAGTGTGAAGATGACCTCTGCTTTAACTCTGAGTTCTCATGGCACATATTAAGCACAAGCTGTACATTACTAGGGTAAGATGCAAATATTTAATCAGGACTTAGATTCAGGACGTGACACTTGGAAATAGGAAAAAAAAATTGAAGCCCTGGACTAACCTTAAGATATGAGGAATATGACTTACATTTGACTGCTAACCAGAAGGCTGATGGTTCAAACCCACCAGCCACTCCTCAGAAGGAAGGTTGGGCAATCTACTTCCACAGTGATATCGCCTCGGAAACCCAAGGAGGGATCGCTGAGTTGGATCCGACTCCATGGCAGTGAGGTTTTTTTTTTTTTTTTCTTTGGTTTTGAGTTTATAAGTGTAAAATATTCTTTATATAAGTAGAAGACAGTTCTAACTTATACAAGTTATATATATATATATGGAACTAAGACACTAACATTGAATCTATCACACCAAAGCCCTGACTGCATAGTAAAAAATGAAATTTATGGATGTTTGGTTTTATGTGTATAAAGTAACTGTGGGATTGGAGCATTTTTCACTTTTCACCCAAGTATCTTGAAATCAAGTTCACAGATATCTAATAAGTGAGACTCCATTCTTGTCTTCATATGGAGGTATGTTTTAGGAAGGTGCTTCCTAAGACATGAAAAAGGATGCTGTCTTCCTTTGCCTTGTATCTGGACAATGTTCTGACCACTACACCAACAGTTGGGAACTCTGACCTGCAAAGACGTTTTGTCTACGTCATTGAGTATAGGTCTTCTGATCACTAAGCAGTGGGGAGAGAAGAAGGCTCCCAGTCCTCATATCACTTATCTATTACATGACAGAAAAATCAGCCCTGCTCCTGTGCCAAGAAAATGAAGTCCAATTTCAACCTGTGGAAACTTCCAGAGTCCAACTTCCAAATGACCAACCACATCACTGATATAAGTAAGCACAGTCCTCTCATTCACATCCACGAGGGGCCTGTCAATTCACTTCCCTAGATAAAAGGCCCTTACCCTTGGAGTTGGACAAAGGGCAGACAGGAACAATGGCCAGCATCCGACTCTAGCTGCACAGCCCATGTGAGCCCAGGAAAGGATCTTAGCAATGTTATTTCAAGCCCAAAGCTGCTGAACACCCTCTTCAATGGAAACACAGCACTGTGGGACTCTACTAGACCAGAAGTGACTGATTTATCCCTTGCATGTAGCATGAACTCAGTGACACAGGGTAAGGGAGAATGATTCTTTTCTGACTAATGATGATGGTTATTCTTCATTCTTATATTCAACGAATATTTATTGAAGACATGCTATGTATCAGGCATTGTTCTAGATGCTAAAGCTAGAGCAGCAAATGAGACAAAGTCTACTAGAGAAGTGCAATAGGCTGACAATAAATAAGTGAACAGTATTTAATTTCAGATGATAAATGGAGGTCCCCAGGTGCTCCAAACGGTTAATGTGCTTGGCTGCTAACTGAAAGGTTGCAGGTTCAAGTCTACCCAGAGGCTCCTTGGAAGAAAGGCCTGGTGATCTACTTCTGAAAAACTGGCCATTGAAAACCCTATAGAGCACAGTTTTACATACATGGGGTTGCCGTAAGTCAGAGCTAACTCAATAGCAACTGATTTGCTGATAAATGAAGAGAAATGAAATGGAAGCTAGAGGTGCTGGTGTTGGATGTTAGTTTACTTGGTGTTGTTAGGGAAGGTCCCTTTGAGGAGGAAACTTCAGTGGAGACTTTGAGTAAAAAGTCATGAGGTTTGTGAAAATCTGGAGAAAGTGTGTTCCTGCCAAAACAAAGGCCCTGAGGCAAAAATGAATTTGGGGGAGTTGAGTGAGGGGAATAAGGGCAGGAGATGGGAGTAAGCAGAGATGGGATGATGGAGAACCCGGTAGGACTAGGTTTTTTTTCCCCCTGACTATGCAGGGAAGCCATTGGAGAATTTTGGGAAGAGAGTGTTATGATCAGCATTACATTGTAATGTCTCTCTGGATGGTGAGAGAAGGACAGACTCTAGGAAAGTGAGAATGAAGGCCAATAGAAGACAGTAATCCTGGTGAGAAGTGCTGGTGCCTTGCAATAGTGTGGAAGGAGTGGAGTTGGTTAGAAATGATCAGATTTGGGATCTATTTTAGGCTCAAGCCCCCAGGACTTCCTGATGGAGCAGATGATGATGATGATAGCAAATACAATATGTCTGTTGTTGTTGTTATGTGCCGTTGAGTCAGACCCGACTCATAGCGACCCCTCCTTGGGTTGCCGAGGCAGCATCACTATGGAAGTAGATTGCCCAACCTTCCCTCTGAGAAGTGGCTGGTGGATAGTGCTTTGTAATATATTAAACACTGTATTTTCATGTCACAGGTGAGAGGAAAGCATTAATATCCGTATTTCACAGATGATGACATTGGGGATAAGATAGCATAAGTGATTTTCCCATAGTTACGAATTAACAAGTGTAGAGCCAGACTTGTGACTCTGTCTGAGCACTTAACTCACTCTTCTTTCTTCCTCATTGCTATTCCTTTGTAAGGACAAAAGGGGCTGGTACGTAAGTTCAGGTTTATGAAGACCAACTCCCTTGCCCCTCTATAAGGGGCATGTTGGCCTAAATGTCTCTAACAGAGTGGGGATACCAACCCAATAGCTTCTTTAATGAGGCTTGAGTTAGCTCAGTTACTATCTAGGTCTTTTACCTGGGATCCAGGAATTGACAGAATACCAATTGAGATGTTTCAGTAAATGGATGCCTAGCTGGAGGCACTCACTTGGTTATGCCAATAGATTTGGAAGACAGCTACCTGGCCAACTGACTGGAAGAGATCCATATTTGTACCTATTCCAAGGAAAGGTGATCCCACAGAATGTGGAAATTATTGAACAATATTGTTAATATTGCACTCAAGTAAAATCTTACTGAAGATAATTCAAAAATGGTTGGAGCAGTATATTGACAGAGAACTTCCAGAAATGCAAGCTGGATTCAGAAGAGGATGTGGAATGAGGGATATCATTGCTGATGTCAGATGGATCTTGACTGAAAGCAAAGAATACCAGAAATATGTTTACTTATTTTTTTTTGACTATGCAAAAGCATTTGATTGTGTGGATCATAACAAATTGTGGATAACATTGAGAAGAATGAGAATTCCAGAACACTTGATTGTACTCATGAGGAATAGA